TCATGTCCATAGGATGAACAACATCAGAATATAAGATGATAATACCATGGCATGTCAAGAACATATCTAGGTTATATTTCTATTGAAGCTTGTAAAAGGTAAAAAAAAAAAGATAGTGAAATAAAGTTTACAAAAAAGTAATGTGACAGTGTATAAATTAACAATTATGAGAAATCATAGAGAGATTTGTATATTATGTATATTTACCCACAATATAAACTTATATTGCAAGTTAAATATATAAACAATATTAAGTCACAATTATGAGATTTACAATCATAGTGTGGTATATTAAGTCACTTTGTACGCCTAAAGTTTAAATAGGGAGGCAAAGATGCAATTATTACCTTTTTATGTTTTTACAAAAACTGGCTTCTGTGCATTTCATTTTCAAGACTTTTATTTTTTACTAATTCATTGTGCAGTATACTGTAATGAAAATAATGTCACAATGCAAATAAGTCTTAAAGGGATAGTTCACCCAAAAATGAAATTCACCCCATGATTTACTCACCCTCGAGGTGTATATGACATTCATACAATTAGAGTTATAGCCTATTAAAAATGTACTGGCTAATAAAATGGCAGTGAATGAGAGCCCAAAAAAGTGCAACCATCCATGATAAAATCTCCCACAGCTCTGGGGATTTAATCAAGGCCTTCTGAAGTGATGCATTTGTGTAAGAAAATATCCATGTTTAAAACTAAGTTGATAATACTTTCATCAACTAAGATAACTAGCTTCCAACAAATGGCCATTCACTGCCATTATAAATATTGGATTAGCCAGGTCATTTTTTTATATAACTCATATTGTATTCGTCTGAAAGAAGAATGTCATATACACCTAGGATGGCTTCAGGGTGAGTAGGCCTAAATCATGGGCTTATTTTCATTTTTGGGTGAACTATCCTTTTAATGCCTCTATTTTCTTTATGCAAAACATAATGTCATTTTTTTCTGTTTATATTGAGAAGAAATATGATCCAAAACCATCTCTGGGAGAATCACCCAGTTGTGGATGCACAGCCACTGCCAATACTAGTAACATTGTGATTACTCAAGTTTTGGTCTTCAGTTTCAAACCAAATACCTTAATTTGAAATGAATTAAGCTTTCCTATAAATCATAAAAATATTCGAGAAGTTTTATAAGGATTATTCAATAGTGTCTCACTTTACTTGATATACAAGCGACCCACCCTTTTTTGTGCGTCCATGTGAAGATTATGGTGAGTTTGCCAGGAAGGAATTTATGATGGCCCTGACTCAACAGCTGTGAAGCTGCATTGCTCACACAGATCTGCAGGTCTGGGCCGTGAGATCTAGTGTGGTTTCTTGGAGGGGCAGCGGCATCAGCCTTCAACAAAGCAGCAATAGAGACTTCCTGTCCATGAACTCTCCGCAGCCTTCAAGCAAAGCAACGTTTGTGTTCAATCACAGTATGACCAGAGCCGCCTTCCCGCTAATGGCGAGTCTTGGGATTTTGGCAACCTTACTGACAATGGATACAGTCCATTTTCTTTGTTTTTTTGTATGGTAATGTGCAAGTCTCACACACATAAAAGCCAGTTTTCCTTTAAAATTTTCCTCATATAAATGCTAGTGGAAGGAAATTACATATCAGCACAAATCCCTTCACTCAACCATTAAATTCAAATCACACAAATTTGTCAAGATCCATTCAGCCAAGTCAATACAATCCCTCACGTCCAATGGTCATACAGAATTCTGACGTTAATTTAGGGTTGCATACTGACAAAAAGTCGTATGCTTGTTTCTCATAGTCAATGCCAATACTTTTTCCCAAAAGAGATCCTCTAATAGGCTACAACCGAGGGATGAAGGACCGCCCTCGAACCACCACAATCCCCAAGAGCCAAAGGAACAGAGTAGAGACTGGTGAGATCCGGGCCAAGTTTCTCACAAAGAGATGCATGAACTCCACCAGTATGTCAAACCCGATGATCATGTTCTCCAGGATGATTTGAGATGATACAAAGAACATCTGATCGAAACATCTGATCAAAGTCCTAAATTTACTAGATTTGAAGATGGTTTGTGGGATCTAGAGAGAGTTTCTGGTCTCAATAGCATGTCCTCTACTCAATGTTTCATAGGACTGGTAGAAAAGAGACTTTCTGCAAAGGGGAAAAAAAGTGCAGCATTCCCACAGGCGCACTTTTGTTTGGGGCAGAAACGACAGGGTTAATGGTTGGTCTCTGGTCAAAAGGGAACGGGAGTTGCTCAGTCGGACAGGCTGAGCCCTGTAATGTCCTCCCACTCACAGGATTCTGAATTAACTGACAAACAAACAGGCCTTCACAGTACATAGAGAACAAAAGAGACTGAGGGAGGCAGGGGCACCAAACCTTTGGCCCAGTCGTCCAGTTCAATGTAACCCTTAAAGGGTCAAAAGACTCATGTCACGGACCGAGTTGGAAAAACAGCTGGGTCAAAATCCACAGACGTCACATATGTTTCATTAAGGCAAAAATATGCAAATAATGGCTTTAAAATGACAGAAGCGCACTTAAAAAGCTCACCCAGCTAGATGTTGAATGTTAAGAGATTCTTAGTTCTTCTCACTAAATTATCACTTTGATGGGGTTTCAAATTCTCTGTCAAGGTCTATTTTATCTTTCATTAAAATACTGTGGCTCAGCTTTTCTTTTTATTCTGTTCTCACAATGGGAAAAAGACAACAGGCATCACTTGAGATCTGTTCACTTTATTCAATTAAATAAATGAAACAAAAACAGCATTCTTCTTCATCTACTGCCATAAAACTGTAATATAATATATTATTTTCTTCTAATCCATATTAGCTTACTATAGAATAAATTTTTGTTCTGGGCGTCAACAGTTCAAAATTATGTAATGTTTTTAATGTTAATCTTTAAATTAGTGCTGTCAAACGAATAAAATATTTAATCGCGATTAATCGTATTAATGTCATAGTTAGTCTAGCTAGATCCGCTAATGCTTTGGTCAGCAAAGCAACAAAGCGTCCTCGCGCGGCGCAAGCCATTGAAATGAATGGGTTTCATAGCACAGCGTGCGCATGTCGCGTCCTGTTGCAAAAGCATGTGAAAGAAAACTACAATTATGGTTTGCTAGGCCAAAAAGACCGTTAATCTGGCGCTAAAAAAAATTACGCCATTAAAATGGGTTTGCGTTAACGCCGTTAAAAACATGTTTAACTGACAGCCCTAATTTAAATAATTGCAGCATTTGGTATAAATATTATCGACTACTATCATGAAAATGTATTACAGACTATATCAGCATTATAGATATCAACATTGAACTTTGTCAATAAAAAAATCCATTCGACCACTAATTGTACCAAAGCATTACTCTAAAACGTTTTCACATTTTTCAATTTTGACAAAATCACTGTGACTTTAATTGGGAAGTATATCAAATTTTAATACACAATAAATTGTCCGACTTGAGTAATATATTAAATATCTTAAACTTTTTTAACTTTTATCTGAAGAACATTACAAGTAAACACGTCCTTAATCAGGACCATCTGTGTTTCATCACAGAAGCAAAGGCTGATGTGTAAACCCACTTGTAAAGGAGAAAGAAAAAGCTCTGCCAACAGATGAGCTCATCACATCAGAGTCAAAGACATAAATCTGATTTGGCAGATTATAGCCGTCTGTTCTCAGCCTTTGAAATGAGTATGATCGTAGCAAAAGATCAGAAGTCACTTCATCAAAATAATCAATGAGATGTTTCAGACACTTTATGCTCCTAATTTCAGAGAAAAGGTCGATTTGATGAAAAACGTGAGCAGTGAGAAGTCAAACAATCTCATGCATGAGGGGAAATTAGTGCCATTTCCACATAGGTTTCTTCACTGTCTATCCTGTCCTCCATCCTGCACCACTGACCTAGATCTTCAGGACTCTCAACAAAGTTTAAAAATTCATAAAGATCCAGAGGTGCTGTGACAGAGACATGTATGTGAATCGCATCGCTCCAGTGCGCAGTCAGAGCGATTAAAGTTTGAGAGACTCCTGTGCACAGCTTCTGAACTCATTAAAGTCCTGTGGCAACGTACACGCTGAGATGAGATGCACATAAATAAGTCAAGCTTCCTCTGCTTTTCTGCACTCAGCAGGTTTAATTAAGGTATCCCAGTGTCTAGCTTTAATAGCTAGGCCAACGATTTACATCTAAATGACAATGAAATATTAGTGTATTTCCCGTAACCTCTAACATATCAAATGGTAGAGCTTGTGGTTTTGATTCCCAGGGAACACACATACAAGAAAAACGTATTAAATAGTCAGGAAGTATATTATTTGACATAACATATTTATTTATTTTTATATGAATATACACCACTGTTCGGAAGTTTGGGTTTGGTAAGATTTTTTAATGTTTTGAAAAGAAATCTCTTATGATTTATTCGATTGATATTAAGTTAATTTTAACAGTAATATGAAATATTATTGCAATGGAAAATAACAGTTTTTTTTATTTTAATAGATTTAAATTGGAATTCATTCTTACAGTGGAAAAGATCATTCTATTCATTCAAATCATTCTAAAATGCTGGTTTGCTGCTCAGGAAATATTTATTTGTATTATCAATGTTGAAAACATTTGTGCCGCTTATTATTTTTGTGGAAACCGTGATACATTTTTTTTTTAAGTTAAAAGTACAAAAAACAGCATTTATTTGAAATAGAAATGTTTTAATTCATAAATCGGTGCACTGTCACAATTTAGCTATATAATATCACTATATTTTGAAGGTTAGTCAGACTGAAGCTCCACTATAGCAGGCTATCCATGAGCAATCACCACTGTGCCCTTGAGCAATGCACTTAACCCAGGTGAATACATGTAAATAATACATCAGTTTTTTTTTATGAGAACACTCGCCGGCAACTACGCAAAGAACCGTGCGGTGCTTCCTGTGAAGTGTATGAGTATCCAGATGGCACAGGTTGTCAGGAAACGTATTATAATGACACTCACCAGCTGAAACTCACTCCGTCGCCCGTAGGCTTCCTGGATGCCACTGTCATTCCAGAGCGCCTGCAGGGCCGGGACGTATAGCTGAAAGGTACAGGGTTCGACGGGCATGCCTGCTTTGTTCTCAAAGGACATCACAAACATGCCATGCTTCTCGTTCTCTGAGTTCTGCCAGGAAACGCCAAGTTTGTCTCGGGCATCCACCAGTACCCGCATCCCCTTTGAAAAAAAAACAAGACAAAGAGAAGGAGAGAAAGATGAGTGCCATGTTTTTGTGTCAAGGGTGCATAACAACAGCAGGGTGTGTCCTCTGGAGCTGGAAGCAGGAAGCTGGATGTAGCAATTCTTCTGGAGATAAAATAAAGATATGAGAAATGTCTTAACGCTACCTAAAGCACACTTTAGCACGATAAAATCCTGCCACTGTAAATCTCCCAAACAAGTTTCAAACTAGTTGCCAACTCATTTTTAAGTAAAAAGGCTTTGGAAAAATACAGTCATGAGCCCATACCACTGCATTTCAGTTTTCAGCAATGAAAATAAAATGATTATCAGCCATGTGAACTACACCAATATGAGTTTAGTCAATGATATAAGAGGCATTTTACATATTGGCCTGCACAGACAAATCGCATGTGAAAAAAAATCATACAGATTTTTTGTGCAGAACATTTATGTTGGGGTGGTGGACAGGTTTGTACTGTAAACAAAAGTGTCAGAGAGAGAGAAGAACATTTAGTAAAACTACTACTACTAGTTTTGCTTTGCATTATATTTTGTACCTCAGGATAAAAAATTAAACAAAAGAAAAACTAAAAGAAGTATAAATTACATAAAATAATATGGTCCCTTTAAATAAGCACCACTGTTAGTTAAAGCAGTGACAAATCTGAAGGGTGTTTGACCTGCATTTGGAAGAACATTACTACTGTTCAGTCATGACATGTATTTCCAAAACACAAGATTTGTGCCTATGCCTGAAACACTCCACTCTGAAGCCAAAAAAAAAAACATCTCCAGAAAGCCCCGTTAAGGACAGCAAATGCACTGAAACTAAACTTCCGTGATGAGCCTCCTCACTTCCAAGCATAACACTGAATACACAAAACCCTGAACTGAGACTCTTTGGCAGTAACCAGGAGGGTTGGGCTCTGTGGACGAGCAGAAATATCATGAGACGCTTTGTAAATGTAACATAAGGCCATTGACTTTTCACAATAATAACTGCAGCACTATCAACCGAGGCAAAATCCTGCTTTGCAGCACATTTCACCCTCCTTTTGTTTCACTGGAATAACATCCTGATGTTCAGGGTCCCAGAAGGGGGTCCTAGGCCTCTCTTTCTGCTCTACAGGGCCACGTATGAATCATCGACACAAGCACTCAAAAGTGCCCTGGGCAAATGTATGCTACAGTAATTAGAGCGTCCAGCCAGATTTTGCCTCCAAAGAAGATTCCTCAGGCACAGGTGCTTTATGGGATTTGACCCCGTGACCCGGACAAGTCCGTTTATTGCCATTCCAGCACGACAGGTCATTGGGTTGGGTGTAAACGCAACAGAGACTCTTAGTCTGTCCGCATGTGTACAAGTGACATGCATATCAACACAAGACGCAAGCATTGCAAAACCAATGAAACAGCAGGAGAGCGACAGGAAATGAATGTGGTACAGTCCTGTTAGTCTGGCTGACTCCATCAAATCCGTCAGATTCCCCCACCTCCCAAATCCCAAGATTTCCCAAGCCATCAAACAGTTGACAAATGTAAACAGTTGTTCATGCTCAAGGCCTCCCTACTAGTTAGGCTTAATGATCTTAATAGTGTTTTTTGGTTCAGGGTACTTTCCAAGGGGCCAAACTCACTTCCACTTCTGCCTTTATTTGCCTCCAAGAGGCTGCCCCCAAAACCCTTCCAACCATCTCTGACCTCTCACCCACTTCTGGGCAATACTATCTGGGAAGCGTAGACGTATCTTCCTGTCCTCCTTGGCTTGATCCGTTGACACAGTCAGGGCAAGAGGAGAGAGAGAGAGCGGTGAGGCGGCTTTATCACAGCGGAGAGGTCAGCTGCAGGCCTTCCAATCTCTTCCTGAGCTGTGGCAAAGTCCCAAAAATATCTCTGAAAACCACCAAAACCTCATCTCGCCGTGAGTATGTCTCCTAGCGTTTCTTGAATGCCTCCTGAAAACAAGCCCTCAGTGTTTGTTTTGAATGGCATCTTCCGAAGCGACTTGTTTTTGAAATCTTCAGCGAAAAGCCACAGACTTTTCCATGTCTAAAACAGACAAAATTCATTACATTATCCTTGTTGTTTGTTGAAAAAGCAGGGGATTTCCTGAATGTTCAGTCAACAAAGAGTAAAAATGAAACTCAGGGATATTGGTTTCTGTCGAGAGACGCAGCTGACAGCGAATCCTAACCATCGGCCCTCATCTGACATGCATTAGACGGCCCCTGCGTGTCAGGCGTAGTAATTACTCCAGTGGTGGTAATGGCAGCGCTGCGATTTTGCAGCGTAAGCAGATGTGGGGAGCAATCCAGGCAGCCGCTCATGGGTTCCCCACCGGTGAGCAACCACAGTTAAATCAGCAACAACTCTTAAGCCATAAACAAGCCACCAGTGAAGGAGCCTCCCAAGACTTCGGTCACAGAGGAACTCTCAGATTTATCACACAGGAAGATGGGCTTGATATATGCTTGCTCCCTGTGTCACCCTTCAGCTACTTCCTGTATCCTCCCCCACACACATCTTGCAAACAGGACGCATGAACTCAGACCTTTCAGTGTGGCACAACTTATTGGTAATTTGCCCCTCCGTACGCGCTCTCCTAGGGATGATGGAGCAAAAACACATTCTGTTGGCCGTTACTGAATACCGCAACTATTTTCTCGAGGATGTAGTAAACAGAGGAAATGCTTCAATGCCAGACTTGGTGTCCCATTGCACAAGAGACTGCAGCAATAGGGAAATTGACTCTTGGAGGATCAAATGATAAGTGAGGGGTACTAGGGGCCAAACTGAGGTGAGATTTTTTTATCCTGTCCCGACACGTCATGTCAGTCTCAGGTCAGACTTTAAATCACTCTCACAAAGAGTTAACAGAAATGAATAGATAGCTAGCTAGTAGCTACTGATCTAGGAAGTAATAAATTCCCAAACATAGATTACACAACCTATTCAAAGTGGGTTAATGACAACAAGGCAGGAAAGGAAAGACTGACTGTGGTGTATCAAATCATTTATCTGGACATTAAAGACTGTACTCACACAACACATTTAGCTTTTGTAATGCATATTTGTAAATCAAAGTGGGAAATAGCTAGTATGGGATGGGTTTTGATTTTATCCATCTAGTTTGAGATCGGATCATAACTACAACATCAGTAACATGAACAATGAAAAATACTTCAGCAGCATTTATTAATCTTATTTAAAAATATATTTTTTAAAGCTACACTGTGTAACTCTTTTAGTTTATTCTTTGCTAAAAACACTTAATTCTTTCAAAGACATACAGTATGTGCTATGGTAGTATATTTACTTGGTTCAAGTAATAAAGTATTCTCGTGAGTGTATAATATGCCATTGAAAATACATACGGGTAAGGGGTTCTAATGTCGGTCGCCATGTTGCCCCTTCCATTTTGAAAGTATATTAGCCAAAGATGGACATACCCGTTAATTCAAGCTTCGCCTTTCGCGTTTACGTTTTGGTTAACACTCATGGACGAGGTCGAACTGGAAGCCATGTTAATCTTGGACTACATTGGCCACCGTAGGAGTTAAAACGAAATTGGAATTGAGAGGAACAGAAACTTATATATATTCACTGGATGCTCATATATCTTTACACCGCTAGATGGGGGTAAAAATCACACAGTGTAGCTTTAACATTACTTAATGCACTGTCAACTACTGTACATGAACAATAGCGCTTTTAGTACATAACATTAATAAAGGTTAATAAATCCTGTAACTAAAAAATACTGCTCATTGTTAGTCAATGCATTAACTAATGTTAACCAATTAGACCTTATAGTAAAGTGTTACCTCCCTTTTTTTCCAATAATGTGCACTTATACCCTGGGACAATGATAAAGGATTTATTTTAAATTAGTATTTAACTTTTAACTTAAAAATCACTGATCGTAACAACATTTTACATTCTTTCCAGATCACCACAGGCAAATGGTGCAGTAATCCCCAAAAGGCATTAATGGAAGGATCTGGAAGGAGTTGAGAGGACTATGTCCTGGACTTTTGCCACTGTAAAGTGGCTGAAATGAAGATAATGTTATCTTTAAAATAACCAATAATTTGATCAGCACATAGGCTAAGATTTGTTCATGCAACTGTTAACCTCTCTAATTGTGTGTTCATGTTTTTTTTTCCACCCCTGAGGAAAAGTCTGGACTGGGTTCCTCCAAATTGGTATCAGTGAAACAAACATAACCGACACTGTCATCATCCTAAAGCCTACAGAGGGATGGGCTGAACAACAGGGTGATGACAAATGGTCAGAGGGGAGATGATGGCATGACTAAATCGCCATTGTTTGCCGTATTCACTGTCTGCACTGAGGAGAGGCATTTCCTCTGGCTCTGTGGACTGTGCGATACCAAGAGCCCATAGAGACCACCATTGTGGAGCTATTCCAATCTGACCTTGACTTCATCGCTAACAAACAAGGTCTCCAGTCCAGCTCCGCATCCAATTCACAGATCTTTTGGGCTGTGAAATAACGTATTATCGCACGCTTTACTTTTTGTTCTACAAAAAAAAAACAAAAAAAAAACATGTTTTGCCCCAGTAATGGACAACTGTTTTAAACCTAAACTAAACGAAATCCCCAACCAATTTTATAAAATTATTCACACCAATTCGACTGTTTTAGGCAAGTAGTCAAAATGTGGCATCTCTATGCTAGTCTATCATCTCTACGTCAAAATGCACATTGTGGGGGAAATGGCTAAAATTGCACCACAAGGGCATATTAAAGGGTTACGGTTTTTGTTGTTGTAACCTTGATTCAGCCAAGAAATATTTTGACTTGAATAAAAGTAGTTTTTTATTCTCATTAAATTATTCAATAAGGTTAACGACACAGGGTAATTATATTGTTGGAATCACTGCTAGACTGTTTTGTTTTTTTCCAGCTGATGAATGCTTTAGAGAGCTAGTGCATTTAGAGTGCAATAGCTGTGGCAGGTTTATAATATTGTTACTCTCCGTTGGTGTGAACGCTAATATAGTAATCATTACCGTTCTTGATGTTAAAGAGTATTTAGTGAAACTAGGCCTTTGCTCTGTTTTTACTTCATAGACCCTGATAATCTAAGCTTTTCAAATCTACACAAATTGTTTCATAAACTGTTTGACATCTACAGTTAATGAATGGTGACAATAATCCATGGTAAACTATTTAGAAACACAAAACTTTAGGCACATTCTTCATGCCCATTTGCTCTTTCCACTTGACTGAAAGAGCAGTGTGTGGACCATGCAATCAGTGCCAACACATACACTTAGGCCGTTTAGTGCGACTAGTCATAAAACTCACTTCAAGTTATCATACAAATAGATGCTCCAAAACGCAGACTGAAGCTAATTAAAAAGATCCGACCTACTAGTTACTTTGTGGTGAAGGGGTCTTATTAAAAATAAACTGATGACATCATCGGCACAAAGAAAGCTCAGTTCTGCAGCTTCTACGTGGGGGGAAGAAGATCTGATCGCAATCAGTCCCAGTCAAACAAAGTCAATCTTTTAGCTCTGTCTCAGTCGTGTCACTGACATATTCTCCTGGGGTCTCAATTATAAAACTGTACGTAGGATCCTTACTAAAAGTGTATGTGCCGTTCGCCCGATAGCCAAAAATGGTGTATACAACAAAAAACGTACAGACTTATAAAACCGTGCGTACGCCAGAACCTGCACAGAATTCACTTTATAAATCCCAGTCAGCAGCGAAAGAATGTATATATATATGTATATACATTGCATATATATATATATATATATATATATATATATATATATAAAATAACTATGGAACTTACAACACCTAGTTACATTTAAGAAGGGATGGATATTTGCTTCAAGTGATAGCCTTGGAGAGTGAAATTATATTTGTATTATTTTTCTGTATATGAAGAGTTCAGATGCAAAAGCCTCTAAGTGCCATTGGAAATTTTCTTCTAAAATGATCATTTTTATCAAGCTTGTATATTCAAATTCAGTAATTTCACTTAAATGACAATTAATAGGTAATCTTCATTGCCATTTAAGTGAAATTACTGAACTTAAATATACAAGCTTGATAAAAATGATCATTCTAGAAGAAAATTTCAAATGGCACTTAGAGGCTTTTGCATCTGAACTCTTCATATGTATAATTTTCTTTACATTTTCTGCCTAAAAGTAACCAAAAAGACATTTAACTCCAGCTCACCATCGGTCTCCAAAACGTTCGTACACATGGGTCAGAGTTTGCGTGCAGGTGCGCAAATTTTCCCGTCGAGTTTGTTTTTATAAATCACAACTAATGCATCAGAAGTGGTGTACGCCTCCTTCAGGGCCTGTTTTGTGTGTACGCAACGATTATAAATGAGGCCCCTGGAGTCTAAATGTGATCCCTGATTGTTTGACAAAGGTTTTGGTGGACAAGAATCATGGAGATGGAACATATGGACCTCTGCACGGACGCTCTGAGAAACATATCCTTTTCCATATAAAGCAAAACTCTTCCACTGAGCCAAACCTCTGATCTGGCAGCCCTGCTTTTGGCCAAACTGTGGGTAAGATAACAAGACCAAGGATAGGAATATTTATCGTTTCAGTTAAATAACTTAATAAATGATCACCATCTTTTGCCAGAATACAGACATATTTGTGTTCAGTAGAGCAGAAAAGCACTTTGTATTGAAGTGGGTTTGAAAAACTTTACGGCATTTTTAAAACTAAAATGTAATGACTCTAAAAATTTCATCATTTAAAATATAGGCCTAACTTTTCTTTAAACCTTTAAAGGAGTAGTTCACTTTAAAAAAAAAAAAAACTTTTGCTGATAATTTACTCACCCCCATGTCATCCAAGATTGTCCATGTCTTTCTTTCTTCAGTTAAAAAGAAATTAAGGTTTTTGATGAAAACATTCCAGGATTTTTCTCCATATAATGGACATCAATGGGGTCCAAACGGTCCCCAAAGACAGTTTCAGTGCAAACTGTTCAAAGAGCTTTAAACAATGTTTACTTTCAAATATGCCAAAATTAATGAATCTTTTTTTTGTGTCATGTGGTTCATTCAACGAACGAAATGAACAAGTTGACTCGGGAAAAGATTTGTTCATTTTGATGAACGAGTTCGAACAGGAGAGTCACGAACGCGCATCACAGAACAGAGCAAGGCAACCATTTGAGCTTATAAAACTTAAACTTTGTTATTTATTTATTAAATGAGCGATCGTTTCACTTGATAAGACCCTTATTCATCGTCTGGAATCGTTTAAAGCCCTTTGAACAGTTTGCACTGAAACTGTCTTTTGGACCTTGAACCGTTTGGTTCCCATTGAAGTCAATTATATGGAGAAAATCCTGTAATGTTTTCATCTAAAACCTTAATTTCTTTTCGACTGAAGAAAGAATGACATGGACATCTTGGGAGACATGGGGGTGAGTAAATTATCAGCAAAAGTTTTTTTCAAAAGTGAACTACTCCTTTAATACGCCTAC